TGTAATATGTAAAATCATGCAATACAGAAGAGCTGTAGAATGCCACCTAATATAACCCTAGAAAATCATGAAAGGTGATAATCCTAAATGCAATTATTTTAAAAAAGCTATTTTTATTACTATTACTAAATAAAATCAATACCACTATTTTAGACTGATTTGTTCTTCTTCTGATTTTATATATTTCTTTGAAGATTTCTGTGGAAGTATTTTTTATCTTCAGACATCAGAATAAGTCTCACGAGTTGTTAGACAACATCTGTATCTCATTTTCTCGGTGAGGCTTTTGTTAATTTGTATATTTTCGGTGTTTTAATATCTCTTGTGGGTCACAAATTTTTTTTTTCCAAATTTTCAATTAATACTTAATTCAAAGCCTGTATCTGGCACTGTGTGAACATTCAGTAAGGATCTATGATAAATTTTATTTATAAATACACAAAGCCTGGTTTTGTGGTATTGTCTAGAACCTTCATTTCATGACTAGTCAAATTCTGGGAAAAGATCTTTATTCAATTCAGATGTACTACATTATTTTCTTCAAAAGCCCCCTTCTGTACGTCTTCCAGTTAAATTTGCAATAAACATTAGTGATTTTACCTGGATTTATTTTAATTGAGTTTCTTAAAAAAACCAAGCACAAAACCAACACCCAAAGATGCAGTGCCATTTCTAGGAAAAGAGGAAAGAAAGGCTCCACGTGTGAAAATGACAATCATGCTGCACTGACTCTAATTCAGGTACCAGCAAACACTTGCCAATACGTCTGTATGTTCTATATCATGTCTGCTTTTGCAAGTGGCTGTGCAGCTAGTGAAGTTCTGCAGTTAAGGTACAGTTTGAGCTCACCTGTGTCTGAAAAGTCAAATACAATTTGAGACTCAAGTATTAATAGAATAAACTTAATTTTATTTTTTTTATAGGTGCAGCTGCATTTTCGATTTAATTATAGGCTCCCACAGTAGTAATTTTTCCGTGACCTACTCAATCTCAAAAGTCAGAAAATTGCTTCTTTTTTAAAGCTGACAATAGCACGGTATGTTTCCAAAGGAAAAAGACAAATTACAGCAAATCATTACTTTAAGCATATTTAAATAGCTGGGAAGAAATCCTAATTGAAAAGTTTGCTAAAATGTGAAAAAGTTAGTGGTGCTTTTTTTCTTTTTTAGAAAAAGATTATTCTCATATTTGTAACATTGCAAGCTGCTTATGATATGATGCCTTTCCTTTCTCTGCTCATCCCTCTACTTCTTTTCTTTCTGATGTGGTTGGACACAATGTTTTTAGGAAGCAAAAATTTTAACTGGAGAGAAATAAATCTGTAGATGTGTTTAATAATGTAATTTGGCTATTTCTTGTGACGCTGAGACAAAGATAATGGGAATCTTTGTATTTCTTTGCATGAGCTCCAGACCAGTCTGTGAGGCTTTATTATCCAGTAGTAGCATTACTGCCAATAATGGTGTTCTAACCACAATTGTTCATAAAGGGGAAAAAAAAAAGGTATCATAAAATAGGCTTGACAGTCATGAAATGCACCCTGGCCCTTCCAAAAACCTCCTCCCCAATAAGCCTCTGCTTTTTCCCCATTATCCCTGAATCTTCTCATGTTTTTTCCTGCTTCTGAACTTTCCCCCAGCACCCAGAAACCTCCTCCCCAATAAGCCTGTGCTTTTCCCCCTTATCCCTGAATCTTCTCATGTTTTTTCCTGCTTCTGAACTTTCCCCCAGCAGGGCCCTTTCCCTGACAGCCCTCTAGGACTGTGGCAGGGTTTTGGCAGCTCATCCCCAGGGTATCTGCAGCAGGCCAGCGCCCAGAGCGCAGAGGCAGGACAGCCCCAGGCCCTCAGGAGATTTTGGAGGGGTTGGTGAATGCAGACACCATGGGAGGAGGTGGGCTGGCCAGCAGGAACCACTCTTGGCATTCCCTCATGGAAGAAAGGAGAAAAAGAAAGCTGGCACTGGGGTCCCTTCTTGTGCCACAAAATAGCTGGAAAAAAAGAGTTGTCTGTTAAGGCAGGTAGCCATGGCAATGTGCCTTCAGCTGTTTCCCCAAGGGAGCTCACTGAAGAAGGTGCTGCTCTCCTGTATCTGCTGAAGTGCTTGAGCTCTTCCCCACCCATTCTCTGTGTTTCCTATATATAAATGACTGAAGCTGTTAAAATTAGGCCCAGACCATGGTCCCGTGACAAAAAGCAGTGGTTAGCATGATTCTTATTACAAAAACCCCCAACCATTAGAGGGGAAATTAGCTGTATTTTTCACTTATTTTCCAGCAGGTCAGGTTTACCCACATGCCTCTTCCCATAAGACACACAAAAGGATCCAGCTCTTATCCCAGAGCAGTGCAAAAGGACAGTGCAAGGGCTGGTTCCTGTGCGAGGGGCAGCTGGAGGCGAGTGCAGGAGCAGCACTGCAGGAGCAGCACTGCAGGCTCCATCTGCAGCCGTGCTGGGCTGCTTGTCCTGCAGCTGTTCGGGGCTGGGATCCGTCGGTCGCTCTGTTCTCTGTCCTGGTGCTACTTCTCTTCTGGCTTGTACGTCAGAGGGGCTGTGTGCAAAACCAATCGGCATCCAAGGATTGTTCTGGCAAGCAGTGTTTTTCATTTAAAGCCAAAATGAAAAATGAGGTAAAGTTTGTCATACTTGCCTGATTCTTTTTCTTACTGTTACTTCTGTTTTCTTCACTCGTGTGCAAAAAGGGGAGTTTAAGTATGAAGGAGGTGGATTTTTCTTGCCTTTTTTTTTGTCCAATCTTTCAGTCATTTATGAGACTATGTTGTTGTGTTTTCTGACCCACCTGATCCCAGACCAGGCTGATCTACAGTCTTATTTTTATGACAGATGGCTGATCACCAGCACAGCTGAGTTAGGGGCCTCAATGAAAGGACCTTGACCCCCCAGCCAGCATCTCTTGAGGAATTCTCTTTGTTGGATGCTTTCAGCTGAGGCCTCTCCCAAAGTCGAAGGTGATTTCTATTTGCCAAAGTGGGAAGACAACGGGAGGCAGAATAAAGATGAAAACCCAAGCAGTCAGTTGAACTTGTTCAGACTGATACCAGCCCAAGGTATTCAGGCAGAAGCTAACCCAAGGTTTCCCTAACCTTGGCAGAAGTGCAGGAAATAGTTGCAGGAGGATGAAGTGTTCTTGAACTGTTTCTCCAATGTATCAAGCACAAGCAGGCTATTCTTCAGTATTAAGCACGTGCTTCTCTTTTCTTCCCCTTTAAAGAAACTTTTTATTGTAGACTATAAAAGGGGGGGGCAGGGGGGAAATCAATCAATCTCTGTTTGTGGACCCCTGTGCTGCATCTATGCTATCCAAGGACAAAGATGCAAATCAGGACCTCCCCAGCATAATAGCATTTAGAAGGCAAATTTCTTGCTGAAGTCTTATAGCAAAAGAAATAGCTGTGCTCAAGTGTTATTTTAAACAAAAAGGAAAAAGATTAATTAACCACATTCTTTAAAACATCAGCTTCCCTGGATACATCAGAAACAGCATTCCAGATAAAAGCAGCATGATGTGAAAAGACCTGATCAGCAACATATTGGTGTCTGGGCTTGGGGACTAATGTAAGAACTTAAAGACTTGGCTAGAGAATATATCCTGAGAAGCACAAACATATAAGAGGATGCCAAACCATGAAAGGCTTCCTTTGCACTGAGAATTCAGAAGTCGGCGTGTTGACAAGCAGAGAAGCCAATGCTGCTAGCAAAGCACATAGGGTGATGAATAAACGCAGATTTTGGGAGCCTAGGAGGAGATCTAGAAAGGGGCCAACTGATTTAGCCACGTTTTTAAGTCTCTACACCCAGCATTTAGGTGCTGTCAAGCCTCAGGCCTCCTCCCCAGCTGCCCGTGATGAGGTTTCACGGACTGGGGCAGCCGGCTTTGACTCAGTGTGTGCATCAGTGTTCAGTTCTCGGAGGGGGTGCAGAGACTGCCGAGACACTGGCTGCAGCAGGCTGCCTGAGCCATTTGTTGAGCCTATGGGAGAGTCAGGTTTAATTTCCTGCTCAGATGCGCTGCATTTTCTGGCTGTTGGCTCAGCAGTAGGCTCCTGGAGTGCCTCCCTGGGGGCCAGATACACCTCCTCCTGTGTACCAGGGGAGAGCCTGGAGGCTGTGTGGGATCTGAGCTGTTCTCTGGCTGGCACAGCACGTTCGAGGCAGATGTATGCCTCTGTAACTGTGACATCCCACTAGCGTCTCTGGAGCTACTGCAGCAGGAATGCTGGCTTGAAACGCTTGAGCCATGAGCAAAGTAAGTGAACAGATATGGCTCGTGCAGTTCTTAAACATGAGACCTGGCCACATATTATTAATTGGGAGAGTCTCTTTGGGATGCCAGTGGAGAAGTAGTATTCTTCTCTTGAGAGGAAAAAATGCAATTTTCCTCCAGCTGCACTTAAAATTGGATAGTTCAGTAATTAGCTGAGAAATAACAGATTTACATATGAAGCAATATAGCAAAGGAAGGGTAGTTGTTAGGTACTAGTTAATGTGCAGTCTGATTTGTGATGGATAAGCTAAGTTTAAAAGCTATATTCTAAGGAAAATGGACATAACTGCAAAAAATATGGGATGTACATATGATGAGAAAAAAACCCCAAAAACCTCTTTACCTAAAAAGAAATTTGAGAGGGCAGTCATGGGAAAAAACACTGATGGCTTCCTCTTTTGCATTTAGCATAAGCCTACCATGCAACCGCCCAAGATAAACACTGTCTTTTTCTGGTTTGGAAAACATCTTGAATGTCCTTTAAACTTGTTGACTTGCTCCACTTTTGTCAGGCCTTCTTGCATAAGCACATTGCTCCCAACATAATCATCCCTTGAGACGTACTCATGTTATTATCAGGTACCTCCTGGGGGCTGAGCACCTACCCTGCAAGGATGCTGGTAAGTACTTGCAGGCACCTCTTCTTCAGCAGAGATCAACGTCTGTGCAGCTGATGGCTCTCATTCTTGTTTGGTTGGCAGGGATGGTGTCACTAAACTTGAGCTCACTTGTCACAATGGAATTCAATTATCTGCTGGAGAGAAGCCCTGACAGCTGTGGCGTAGGTTTTTCAATGTGATGTTGCCTGGATCGCAAGAAAAATATCAAGGGCTGGTGAGAACAGCCATGTTCTAAAAGCATCTCCGCCTGGGTTAGACCACTGCCTACCAAAGAGGTACGTGGGATTATATTGAAGTTATTTATTGACTGTCATGTCAGATCATGGTTAAAGTTTATCTTTACTGCAAGTTGTCCTTAGGAATTCTTTTAGTTCATCAAAAGTAACTTTTCTTTTCCAGGGCGTAAGTTGGAAGCACAGTGTTTGTTTACCACATTGCCCCTGGGTTTGCCTCTGGCTTGTGCATCCTGGGGGAGAGGCAGTGGGTCTGCTGCTGGTTCCTCAAACATTGACATCTGTGATGGCCTTCTGTAGTGAAAGCATTTTCCTAGCAGCAGCATCAGGTAAGACCTCACAGTTTTCTTATGGTAATGGTTATCATTGATAAACTAAGGAAATGTGAGCTGAAAAAAAGAACAAGTGTGTGTATGTGTGTGTTTGTTTTGTGGTTTGTTTTTTTTTTTAATGGAACATTGCCTTAGCTTGTATACCATAGTATTGGGATTTCTTAATTTTTAGCTTTTTTCCTGTTGGCAAACAAGTACTCATACCAGTAGCTCTCTAAGGTTGCTGACAAGCTCTGAGATGCTGAAGGCACTTTTATAATAAATTCTGCTATACTCTTGCACGAGTAAAGGACCCATACTGTGAATAGGAAGGTGGCCCAGCTGGCATTTGGTTGCCCTACTGCCAGCCTTGGAGAAACACCCAACCACCTGGATGCACACACACCTCTGGGAAACCTAAAGGGAGACCAGGATTTACCCCCTGATTTACACCCCTGAATCCACCTATCCTCCAGGATCCAGGAACATTGTCCCTCAACCACTGTGGGAAATCTGTGAGAGCCAAGCTGCACCACACCAGAGGCTAACATGCATGTCTTTTGGGAAATCCTGGCTGTGTCCCCTGGGCTTCAGGTAAGCTCTCCCTAAATCACAGAATGTTCTGAGTTGGAAGAGACACACAAGGATCATCAAGGCCAACTCTTAGGTGAATAGCTCCTATGGGATCAAACCCACAACCTTGGCATTATTAGCATCATGCTCTGACCAGTGGAACTGATGTCCTGGGGACCATGGCTCCAGTCTCTTCCTTCCCCTTCCTGGGTTGAAGCAGAAAATACATTTTCAGTGGTGGAGGGGAGACACTCCATCACCTTCATTAAAAAAGTGAATCCTTCTTGGCCCCAAGGATGTATTTCTGTCTGGAGACTTTCTGTGTATTAAGGAACAGATGCTTGTGCACTTTTTAGGTCACTGTCAGATTAAACCATGCATGGTGCAAGTCAATATTTCTTGTGCCTGTCATCCAGGAGCTTCCTGGGCTAGGTTTGGAAATTAAACCACAGAGCTGCACTTCGTCTGTCCGTGCCCCACCCAAATGAGGGGAAAGGCACCTTGGTAAGGCCCTGTGCTCCTGCCTCAAGCTGCAAGGGATGACCTGTCTGGCAAGAGCTTTGGAAAGGAGTTTCTTCTCCAAAAAGTGAGTGTGTTGTAATGTGTTTGCATTATCCACTGTCAGCTCTTGATGACTGCCATTAGGATTAGAAACAATTTGGAAATTCTGGAGTTAAAAGTATGTAAGTTGCATGAAGATAATACTTAATAAACACGAATACATGGTAGAGAGATTTTTTTCCATCCTTTAATATGACTTTTAGACTTACAAGCTTTTATCTTATTTTATGGGGCCATGTGAAATAAATTAAATGTAACACAAGATGCTGTTAAAAAAGATTTTATGACATTGAGAACTGGTTCTATATTAGGACCAGATCTTACAAAGGCTTATTGATGTGAGCAGTTTTGCTCCCATAGATAAGCTGTGGAGTCAGCTATGGCTAACCATTTAAATGCTCAGAATCAGGCCCTCATTTTGGATGCACTTCTCATTGTTAAATCAATGTGAAAGTGAAATCTGTCTCCTCTCAAAAGGAAATTGCCAAGACTTTCTACGCTAAGATTTGGGATCTGTAGAAAATGAAGCCTTTTTATTTTTTCTTCCCTCCAATAATCTGTTCAGTGAACAAGCTGTGAAAAATAGTTCTATATTTTTTCCATGTGATGCAGCAGACGGTAAATTTCCATTTAAAAGAATGATCAGAGTAGCTGCTGGCACTGAACTCTGTTGTCTTAGTCAAATCTACTTACAAAGAGTTTACAGCAATACAATAGCTTATTATTTCACTCAACCAGAAATCAGATGAAAAAGGCAAAGGGGAAGCCTGAAGTAGGTTCATGGTCAGAATTCTTTTCTTCCTTAACATCTTGGGGTGTTTTTAATGCAGGAGTTGAGATCAGTAGTTTTATGTATAAGGAGGAGACTACTTCTTTTCACCTCTACTTTTGTATGCTGTGAAATAATCAGACTATGCACTTCTATAGTGCCTTTCTTCTGTGGATCTGAAAGCACTTTACAAACATTAATTAAAGTCTCACAACACCCATGTGGAGGTAAAGGAGCATTGTTTGTGTATCTAATGCAAAGGCTTAACCTGATTCTTTAAGTACTCTAGCAGGAAAATAATGGAATAGCCAAAGCAAATTAATCTAACTGAATTGCTGGGAGCATTTATATGTGTGTGTGCATGTGTATACGTGTATATATGTGTGTGTGTGTCTGTGTGCATATGTGCCTGCATCTCTGTGCTGCTGGAAGCCTCAGACTGCACCTCCTCTGCCCTGCACATCCTGCCTGTTGTTGTCTCAGGGGATTTGAAGTGTGCTGCTGCTTCTCTCTGTATAATGCCTTGGGTCCATCAACAAATGTGTATCTTCTAGGAAACCTGGGGAAAGCTTGCATTGCCATTGATTATGCTAAGATTAGTTTTAAAAATTTAAAAGACTGAAAATGTCTTTTTCTTGATCACCAAATTTATGAATAAAAATAATAGGTGAGCAGTGAGGACCCAGAAGGGGTTTTTGCCACCTGAGCGGGACCCCTGTGGTGGAGGCTCCAGCACCTGTCCTCTTTGACTGCCCCTTGTTCTCAAGCCTGGTGGCCTTGTCCTTGCTGCTGTTACTTCCCAAGTCTCCCATCCCAGGGAGGTTTGGGTGCAGCTCTGCAGAGACAGCTGCGGGGTGGGCTTGGCTCCTGCTGGGGCTGCCAAGTCCCCTCCATGTCTGGAGGCAGGAGAGGGGCATTGTCCTACTGCAGCTTAATGCTGGGCTTGGCTTGGCTATGCACAGCAACAATGCCTGTGTTAAAATATGTTAAATTATTTTACGGACTTTATAGAAAGGGTGTTGCCCTCCTCAAGAGCATCATTCCTGAAGAAGTTTATTCCCTGTACTTTGCCAGGTAGGTGCCCACCCCATGCCCTGGGCAGGTAGAGTTGTGCTGAGTATCTCCACCTATCCATCTTTGCTGCTTTGATTTCCTGCTGCTGTCTCTTCAGCCCCAGTGAAAGGCTAGAGCAGCCTCAGCCCAGGGTGTCTGAGAGGGAAGGCTGATTCATCATGGCTCTCTGCTTACACTGGCAGAAATGAAAATGAAGTGAGGGAATTAATCAAAATGGAGGAAACTCAAGCTGAAAGACCAAGCAACTCTTCTATTTTCAGCTCAGTGCTGTAGTGTACAGGCCTTTCTCCCACTTGTGCAGCCCAGAACTGCTGAACTCTTGCAGCCTGACTTCTCTTTTCCTTAAACAAATCAGATGAAAAAAAATTTTTTCTAGTGGTTAGAGGATGGCATTATTTTCTTTCTTTGGATCAAAGCTGTAGGGAAATAGGTCCACATGACTACCATGAATTTGAAATGTGATCAGATGGCTACTAAAAGCAAAAAGGGCCCCAGAGCCATGAGCTTTTGTCAGCCCTAGTCCCACATGCTGTTACAGTCTAAAAATGCTTTTGGGTCACCAGCATTAGATCCTTTTCTTAATCTTCATCATGTCTTCTTTCTGCTAATTTTACTTTCACAGTCTGATGTAGGCTCTAAGATCTTCAGTGCAAAGAGAGCATCTTTTATCTTTGTAAAGTGTCATGCAAACTTAGGGTGGTACGTAAATATTTAATAATAATATTAGTGATGAAGAGTAGAGTCCTGGAGGAACATGTCTCCTTCCTTGCAGATGCAGAAGATATTGTGGTAATTTGGGTACTGTTTCATTTCCCCGGGGAGAATTTCTCTGCTCACTCATTTTCCAGTTGCTTCTGTCATCATCTTGAGTAAGGCTATTGGGGCACAATACTTTTGACTGGGAATGACTTAATTTGAATTGGGCAAATAACAGCTTTTTCACTTGAGACTCTGAAAAAAAATCCTCAAAAATACAAGTTCCCTTTTTTCATATTAGAAAAATGGAAACCTGCGGGGGAAAGTTGTCCAGAGGTGCCCAAAAAGGAGACCTGTGAGCTCTTGTGATGCTGGAGGTGGCTGATCTGTGCTCCCTGACAGCTGTGGAGGGGCTTCAAGGTGCTTGGGCTGGGGCAGCATCAGAGGAAGCAGGCTGCAGGGAGCTCCAAACTGTCCCCAGCACTCTGCTCATCAACCTTTCTTACTTCTTTTTAGTAGCCAAAATAATTTTTAGATGGTTTGGCTATATAAGTAGATTTACTTTATAAGAGGGTTTATACTGTACCTACTTAAATTTTCTAATGATTGTAGCCAATAGCAATTAATTTAAAATAATTAAGACAAATATACACATTAAATTGCCAAGCACTACATTTTTCTCATTCATTATGACTTAATAGACTTCAGTATATATGTTCAGCCTTTACTAATTGCACAGTTGAAAATTCTTTACGACTTTGAGGAGTTCAACATTTTCTGTCTTTACTGGCTACATCCTCTTAGCATAATCGTAGTCTTAATTTTGTTTAACTTATGCTAAAGCAAAATATGAATCTAAACCACAGGAGGCAAATAAAACACGTCATTGTACAGTTCAGTACATTTTATAAAACCATTTTACAACATGAACCATCTATCCATTCTGCTCAATGGAGTAAATGGGATCTAACCATGCTTTAAGGACTGTGCTCATCTTTAAACGGATTAGTTTCTCTCCTTATTACAAAACACAGGCATCTATACCAGGTCTAATGTCTAATTTTATATACAATTAAATGGGTAAGCCCTGTTGCCTCCAGCATAATCATTTAATCATTGTTATTTACCTTGAGGATTTTGGGTAGGATCAGAGACTCAGTTCTCCTGTTGCTGTGTGGTGTGGGGCGAGCCTCAGCAGGGAGGAGACCCTTATGATCCTGGTTGCTGCATGTAAAATGGGATGGAGATGTACAGAAGGGCCAAGCTCATGGCCTGGAGTCGGCAGGAGATCAGGGAAGACTGAGCCTCGTGCCTGGTGCTGGTTGGGCAGCAGGGATGGGGTAGGAAGGTGGAGACAGGGACTGGTGTCAGTGGGGTCACTGGAGGGGCAGAGCGGAGCTGCAAGCTGTGCCCACTTCCATCTGTGCCAGATTTGGGGTGCATGTCCTCAAGACAGGACCCAGTCAAAGGCAGTGTGGCTGGGGCAGCAAAGCAGGGTTGGGGTGCTCATGGGACAGCCTTGGAGATGGGTTTGGTGGGGATGAGCACTTCAGGGAGTGCTGTGAGGATGCAGCACTACAGTCACAGGCACGAGCATTCTCCTGCCCATGGCACCTACGTGGTGATGCATCTTCCCTGCTCTGCACCAGGAGCAGGGAAAGGAAACCTCGAGCAAAGGTTAATGCTTAAAAAACCCCCAGGGCAGGGAGGAGGCAGCCGGGGCTGGCAGCAGCTCAGCAGCCGGGGCTGGGTGTCGGCCGGGAGCCCATTTGCTCATAGCAGCGCCTGGTTAAACCCGCAGCCTGCACATGGCTTTAACCAAGTGCGGTGCAGCGACGAGCGAGGGGCTGCCTTTGGCATGAGGGCTCTGCTCGGCCCCGCCATTAGGGGAGGAAGGCTG